AATAATAGTTATTTATATATATTTTAAATATTATATTATTTATCAAAATATAATATGATGATATAGTATTGATTTTTATTTAAATCGTGTAATATTTTATAAACTTTATTTATGTGTGTGCACGCATAAAAATATATTTAAAATAAAATATTTTTCTTTAAAAAAAATAGTCAATACAAGTAGAAAATTGCACATTCACCGTTATTCTTAAAATAGTAGCGTCACAACAACTCTAGTGAATAATTTTGTTTTGACATATATTCTTTGACCTTCGAAGTTATCAATATGATATCTTGAAGGATATTTTGTCAAGAGAAACTCCAAATTATAATTTGTATTAAATGAATTTATATAAAATGTTGAGTATTATATAACATATGACATTATTTAAAATAGATACGATAAAGAAAAAAATAATATATTGATTATTGACTACACCAAAAATTGTACCAATAATATATTGATTATATGGAGTATAGTCAATAATCAATATATTATTGACTATACTCCATATGATGATAATATATTGATTATTTATGTGACCATACCAAAAATTATACCCCTAATACCTATGCAACATGCCATCAAAAGGAAACTTGTCAACAAGAATATATTCCCATCTTCAATGTTATTAAAGTTTATTTAAAAAATATTAATTATAACCGAACTATGTTATAATTATATAATGTTATGTATTTTATCTTACTAACATGAATATGAGAGGTATAGTTCTATTTTTGTTTAAATAAAAATAAAAAATAATAAAAAAATATGTAAAATTTGGTAAAGGTTAGGTGAGTTAGCAAATTAAGTAACTCACCAATAAATTAGCAAAATGATATGCTATTGCAAGTATAACAAGTTTTAAAAATTATAATATTTATAATTTAATCTTTAATAAATTTTGTTGATTTAAGATTTCAATCTTTTAGATATTTAAAATTAGGTCCTTTATCACTTTGGTATTGAAGGTAGTTATCATTTTGTTTATTGAAGTGAAACTTAATCATATTCTCTCAAACTCATTCTTATCTTTATTTTTTTAAGCAAGTTCAATAATTTCTTTAGTGTTTCTAACAATTAATTCAATAATAAATTGAGTAATTATGGTTGAAATTTACTTGATAGAAGTATGAAAAGAGATACCTCTGAAATCAAATGGAATCAAGTAATCATATATTAAAACATTGTTGTAGAAGCTTTGTCCAATTTCTCCTTACCTAATTTTGATTCCTCCCTATTTTCACCTCTTTAATAATATGCAAACTTGTTTCCCAAATCTACCCTAAACCCTAAACTTAAATAACCACAACTTCTTTGGATTGTTATACTTTAATCTATGATCTTTGTAAGTAGAACTAATTAAATTTGGAAATATCATATGCTCATCCCAATTATCTTAGATATTAACACTTCGGTATAATCAAAATAGGGGTAATGCATAGACATTCTGTTGACGAATAAAAAAAACACAAAAAATTCATTCGCTAACACAATTTGCTTAAGCCGATAATCATTGGCTTAAGCAAATAATAGACAATGATGAATCTAAAATATTTTTAAAAATTTGCTTAAGCTAATATTGATATGCTTAAGTTAGTTTTAGACAGTGATGAATATAAACATTTCGCCAAAATTTGCATAAGTTAATATGATTTGGCTTAACCTAAAAATATCCTTTAGGTGACTGTTTTCTTATAACGTGACATGCACAACTTAATGACGATTTTTCGGGTGAGTGAGTTGGGTTTACAGTTTTATTATCTAAAAATACCAAGGTTGTTAATGACTAAGCGGAGAATATGTATGCAGTTCCACACCCGTTACATTTTCGCTTAAGTCCTTTAATCTCCACTTAAGTGAATATAACACAGGGTAGTTTTTTCGTATAGAATATGAAAACCGCTTAAGCGGTATACCACTCGACCAAGCACCACAATCCACTAAAATTTCTCTTCAACAATTCATATATAGCTTTAGCCTTAATATTCATTCAAATAAATGCTTTCTACACCAATTTCGCTTTAGCTAATATTCATAAGCTTAAGTGAGTTAGGTATTGCAAGATAACTTAAAGTTTCAACTTAAAATTAGCTTAAGTGTGGTACTTTCAGTTTAAGCTAAAAATTATTCACTTAAGCTAGATTTATTTCGCTTAAGCTAGACTTATCTCGCTTAAGCTATACTTATTTCGCTTAAGCTATATTTATTTGGTTTAAGCTAATTTTTATAAGCTTAACTGCAAAAAGACTAGCTTAAGTGAAATATCATTAGCATAAGTGAAATAGTATTAGCTTAAGCAGAATATGTAAAAACTAAAGTACTTAATCTCTGATACCACTTTGTTATATGACACTTAAAGCTACTTTAGTTGATTACATACTGTATAATTGATGATTGAGAGATTTGCATAAAGATTTGTTGCTAATCCTCATCAAAGTATGTAGAAAATTTTGTGTAGTCTATGATGCAAGCCTAGGTTTTCTTCGATAACTTTGGTTGAAAATGCGCATTAAACATGTTACAAACATTCATTATAAAAGCAAGTAAAAATGGGTTTTGTTTGATTTTTAGATTCAATGTAAAAAGCAAGTAATGAAATTATCAAATTCAATCAATAAGATGTGACAATCCTTAGTTTATTCACATGATTCTATCCCTATTCCTCTCAACATTTAACACTTTTCCTCTTCCCTTGAATTAGATCAACTTAACAAGCGAGAATTAATCTTGAAACCCTATACTAATTTAAGCAAATTCAATAGGCTCCAACCCCTTTTCCCAAAATTATGGAACCTTAGAAATTAACTTAGAATTAATTCAATTCAAAGGATTGAGAAAAAGAAATTCATGAAGGAAAAAGAATTGTATTAACATTATAGTCCAGGAATTCAATGCATGGATGTGAAATCAAAGGAAGTAAAGAGAAATATGAATCAAATCCTAGGTTGGATCTTTGGCTATCACCCAAGGTTGACCTAAGCTCTGCAAGTGTTCCCAAAATGGCAAAAATCTAAAAGTGTAAAAAGCTCTTTAACCCTAATTTCCAAAAATCTATTTATAGTGAAGTAGTCGTCGCTCATAGTAGCTACTATGAAAATCATAGTAGTTATGCGCAGCCTCCAAGTCCTGTCATTCCTCTCTGAAGTCGCCACTATGGAATCTGAAAGTGATTACGCGCGTAGCTACTATGGTTTGAAAGTGGCTACGCGCAACACTAGATCAATTTGGCCCTTGTTGTAGTTGTCACTATGGATTTCAAAGTAGCTATGCATAGACCTTTTGCAATCTGGGGTCTCTGTAGTGTCCACTATCACTTTGAAAGTGATCACTTTGGTCTGCCCTTTGGATCTAACTTGCTGTAGTGTTCACTATCACTTTTGAAAGTGGTCACTTTCAACTCATATTTTCTCAAACGCTCAAAATCTATGGAATAAGTCAAGAAATCCATGCACAATTATTCAAATGATCAAAATTACAAATTATATCTATGTAAATCAATGTAAATTAACTAAAAATTAAGGAACCTATGATATTTGACCAAAATGATATTTCTATGTTATTTACATTTCTTAAGTTTACTTTTTCTATCAATAGATACTAAAAAGACAAGTAAAAATCCAATAAAATGTGGATTCATCAATAAATATCATAATCATGCAAGTCATTTTCACCTCCATTTTTTTTCTTAAATTTTCTTCTCTATGCTCCACATCCCTCTTTTGAATGTGAGAGAGTTAACATGCATATCTCAATCAATTCCAACATCTCATCTTAAACATATCTTGCTCATGAATATCATCACATAATATGATCCTCTATTGATGAGAATCAAGGAAAGCCCATTAAAGACAAATACTTGAAGGCATTGGAAGGACTTTAAGGACTAATAACAAGGGCAATTATTGTTGTCTTATTTATAAGGGAGCTCAATTTGGAGTTAAAAAAACTCAAAATAGTCAATTACATATGCTTAGAGGATTTGGACTCTAATAAGTTTTATATGAATTTAATTATTATGTTTATTTTATTTATTTTAATATTAGTCATTACTTATTTTAAGTTTTTATTTAGGATAAAATCTTGTTATTTTATTTTGTTTATTTGAATTTAAGCTTCTTAGTACAAGAAGCCCATTAGGGTTTGCGTTAGTATTGGTTTACAAGCATTAAGCATATATAAGCTCTTGTAGACACACTTTTAATTAGTTTTGAGTATAATTTGAGATTGAACACTCTTGTGAAAGAGTGTGACTCTAAGTTCTTAAGTGAGCCAGTTTTCTTTGATCTTATCAAGAGGCCAAGACTCTTGTGACGATCGTTCCTTGGTTTATCAATCTTGCGATTGTGGCACCATTTTTCATCCCTATTCTATTTCCACTTTTTTATTACTTCAATTCCTATTTGTGCCCTAATAATTTCGTTTTTATTGTATGAAATCCAATTCACGATCGTTTAATTCGACAACACGGTTTGTGATTGTCATCAATTGGTATCAAGAGCTTTGGTTAGAATTAGATTGAAAGATATTGTTCATCGCACACTATTCACGTAGTGCTCATTGAAAAAAAAGAGAAAAAAATACTACAAAAAAAAAGAAAAAAATTGCAAAAGAAAATTGTTGTTATTTAACGTTATATAATCTTCTTTAAATTCTCTAATTTTGTCTTATTTGCATTCTATTTTTGAGTGTGCTTATTTCTTATTTAGTCCTTTTTTTCTATTGTCTTGTTGGCTTCCTTAGTTTTGTTTTAGAGTTTTCTTTTTTTTGGCTTCACTTGTTTCTCGTTGATTGATGGTCTCTTGGTTTTGGTTGATTGTGTGGATTGGAGGTTGACTTCCTTAAGAACTCTTGAGAGCACTTGAGGGAAAAAAGGCAAGAGAGAAATCCTTACACAAGAGTCAATTTAGAGTATAATATGAGCGAACATCTATTGAGTAGAAACACTTAGTGAGTGGAGAGAACCTTTTCTTTTTGCATTAACTTTTATTGTTTTGTAGAATGTCTCAAGATGGAGGATCAAGTAGGGAGAGCACTCCTGCCTCACAAATTGAAAGATTTGCACAAAGATTTGAAAGAATGTTTGAGAGGCAAAATGAAGCAGTAAAGAATGTTCAAAAGGCGTTGGCAAATAATGTAAGAAAGCGGTCACATAATCATTCTCCACATGCTTATGGAGATTCTAGTAGTTCTTCAAGAGAAAGAAGAAGAGATAGGAGGGATAATGAAGAAATGAGGTATGATAGGTGGAGAGATAATAGAGAGAGGAAAAATCAAAGAAGGAGAAGAGATGATGTAAGAGTAAGAGAAAATGAAAGAATTGGTGGAGTTAAAATAAAGATTCCTAGTTTTCATAGAAGAAATGATGTTGAAGCATATTTAGAGTGAGAACTGAAGATAGTAGTATTCTCATGCTATGACTATAGTGAAGAAAAGAAAGTAAAGGTAGTTTCCTTAGAGTTTCATGACTACATCTTGGTGTGGTGGGATCAAATTCAAAGGGAGTGAAGGAGATATAATGAGGAGCTTGTAGATACATAGATTGAAATGAAGAACTTAATGCATAGGAGATTTGTTCCTACATACTACAATAGAGAACTTTATACAAAGCTTCAAGGTTTGAGGTAAGGTAGAAAAAATGTTGATGACTATTATAAATAAATGGAAGTTGCCATGATAAGAGCTAATGTATTTGAAGAAAGAGAAGCAACAATGGCCCGTTTCTTGAATGGGTTGAACCATGATATCTGTGACATAGTCAAACTTCATCCTTATGTAGAACTTGAAGATTTGGTTCACCAAGATATTAAAGTAGAAGAATAACTGAAGAGAAAGGAGACTTTGAGGAAGAATGTCTCTTCCTACAACTTAAAAGGATGGAAGGAAGAAGTAAAGAAGGAGGAAATATCAATTAAGGATACAGTTGTCTAAAGTGGTAAAGCTTACTCTAAAACTTCTTTTAATTCTACTAATACTTTTTCTTCTCCTACTTCTCAGCATAGAGCAATCAAATACTTCAAATGTCTTAAAAAGGGTCATATTGCATTCCAATGTCCAAACAAGAAAACTACAATTTTGAAGAAGAATGGTGAAATCTTAAGTGCAATTTCATCTCAATCATCACATGCTTCAAGTGAAGAAGATAGTGAGTTTGAAGCTTTATGCCATGAAGGAGATTTGCTTATGGTAAGGCGTCTCTTGGGTAGTATAGTTAAAGAGGATGACACTACACAAAGAAAATATTTTTCATTCAAGATGCTTGGTACGTGAAAAGATTTGTTCTCTTATTGTTGATTGAGGTAGTTGTACCAATGTGGCTAGTGTTAGACTAGTTGAAAAATTGAATCTTACTACTACTCCTCACCCTAAGCCCTATAAGTTACAATGATTGAGTAATGAAGGAGAGTTGATTGTTAATAGAGAGGTTTTGATTACTTTTTTTATTGAGAAGTATGAGGATGAAGTCTTATGTGATGTAGTACCTATGAAAGCAAGTTATATACTCTTAGGAAGACCTTGACAATTTGACAAGAAAGTTATTCATGATGATCATTCCAATAAATTAATGTTTGTACATAAAGGGTGCATAATCACTTTAGTGCCCATGACTCTTAGTCAAGTACATGAAGATCAAAAAGTTATGAAGTTAAGAAGAGAGCAAGTAAAAAAAGATGAGAGAAGAAATGAAAAGAAAAAGAGTGAGTTTGAAGGCAAACTTAAAAAGAAAGGAGAAAAAGTGAAGACACTTACAAGTTAGAAATACGAGAGTGAAAAGAAAGGTGAAGAGAAAAATCAATGTGAAAGGAGAGAAAATTTGTTTGTGAGAGAAAAAGAAGTGAAGAAAGTTTTGTTAGCCTCTCGGCCTATGTCTATTTTTGTGTAAAAAAAGTCCTTATAATAAATTTATGGATTCCTTTGCTAACAATATTTTGCCAAGTGATGTTTTCTCTCTTCTGTAGGATTTTGAAGATGTCTTCCCTAAAGAAGTATCTTACGGCCTATCTCTAATTAGAAAGATAAAACATCAAATTAAAAAGAAAGTACAGTAACAAGCAAAGTATAAAAATAAGAGAACGAAGAAAGTAGAATTTGAACTTGGAGATTGGGTTTAAGTACATATGTGCAAAAAAAAGCTTTCTGTGCAAGGAAAGTTAAAGCTTCAAACAAGAGGGGATGACTTATTCCAAGTCTTAAAGAGGATTGAAGATAATGCATACAAAGTGGACTTACTAGGTAAGTATGGTGTTAATGTTACTTTTAATATATTTGATTTATCTCTTTTTAATGTAGGTAATAAAGAGTCAAATTTGAGGATAAATTCTCTTGAAGAAGGAGGGATTGATGAGAATCAAGGAAGGTCCATTGAAGATAAAGACTTGAAGGCATTGGAAGGACTTCAATAACTAATAACAAGGGCAATTGTTGCTGTCTTATTTGAAAGGGAGCTCAATTTGGAGTTAGAAAAGCCCAAAATAGTCAATTACATATGCTTAGAAGATTTGAACTCTAATAAGTTTTATTAGAATTTAATTATTATGTTTGTTTTCTTTATTTTAATATTAGTCATTACTTATTTTAAGTTTTTATTTAGGATAAAATCTTGTTATTTTATTTAATTTATTTGAATGTAAGCTTGTTAGTACAAGAAGCTAATTAAGGTTTGCGTTAGTATTGATTTATAAGCATTAGACATATATAAGCTCTTGTAGACACACTTTTAATTAGTTTTGAATACAATTTAAGATTGAACACTCTTGTGAGAGCGTGTGACTCTAGGTTCTTGAGTGAGCCAGTTTTCTTTAATCTTATCAAGAGGCCAAGACTCTTGTAATGATCGTTCCTTGGCTTATTAATCTTGAGATTGTGGCGCCATTTTTCATCCCTATTCTATTTTCACTTTTTTATTAATTTTATTCTTATTTCAATTCCTATTTGTACCCTAATGATTTCGTTTTTATTGTGTGAAATCCAATTCAAGATCGTTTAATTTGACAACACAGTTTGTGATTGTCATCAACTATACAAAGCAATACATGCCCATCTTGCTTGTAATTAAATCATAGTCTTAATATTTCATAATTAATAATATAATCATGCATTATGATTCACAATTCACATACTGAAAATACCTCCATAATATTATAAATATAAAACTTAATATCAAAGTCATATCTCAAAGTTCTTAACTGAAAGTTAACATAATTTAAATACGTAATTATCACATTAAGAGACTCTTAAAAGCAGTTTCTTCTACATAAATATGAAACAATTAACAATATCAATCATAAGGAGAATAATCATCGAATGGATCAGACTCCTCAGAAGTGGAGGGAGAAGCAAGACGAGAAGTAGGAGTAGACGTAGGCGTAGGGTCATCATCCTCTTCCTCTATCTAGCTGGCAGTACGAGGGGGTAAGCGAGAAGGTGGGTGAGGTGAAAAAGAAGATAGATATGAGGGGTACATGTAACAAGGTACAACCTCATCACTACGAAATGTAGGTTGAGGTAGAATAGAGGATTCAATCACATGAACATTTCTCTAATCGGGTACGATATGTAAAGTAGGATACGTAGAAGGAAAAGGCATGGGTGTAGGAACTGGCCTAAAGATAGGATTACAAGGATCAATGTGCATGGGCGAAAGGGTAGTAAAATGAATGATGCATATGACCCATTTTTCTCTAGCCTTTCACGGCACATCCACACCAAAAACAGCAACATATCAAATCATTCACTCAATCATTATTTCAAAATTTCAGCAAACAGCACCAAGAGAATCAAGCATAGTTCCACACGGTTTCCAAGTTACCAAAACCGAAAATGAACAGTACTAAGGATCACATCCATTCACACATTCCAAATACTTCACATGCATGTTAAGTTCATAAATTTCTAGCACCATATTAAGGGTAAAAATCGAAACATACACCAAGGTTCACATAATGTCAATCAAACAAGTTTACAAGAAATTTGTATTCTATCAAGATCACACACAACCCTACACGAATTCAACCATCTCAAAGCTAAAAGGTAACATGTTTCACCTTGCATGCACTTCTATTTTCCAAAAATGAAACTTGCATGGTGAGTTTTCAAGTTCCAACACTTTTTGAAAGTAAAGCCAAGACATTCAAGTAAGATCTATTTTTACTTTGATCAAACACTTTTCCTTGAATCACACAATTTTTCCAAAAGTTCAAAGTGTCAAAAAAACATGAAAAGAGTAAACTTTTAAGTAAAATCAAAATTACATATGAATTTTTATCAAAGATCTGTGACATGCAAAAGGATAAAAAACATGCAACACCTTGGCTTCATCATCAAAAGAGATAACTTCAATTTGAAACGAGAATCAAGCTTGAAAGAAAGGATCTGAGACATGCAAAGTGAGAAATCAACATGCAAAGAGAGAAATCAAGTCATCTTGCATCAATGAACCAAAAGCACAAGAAAATTGCAAAGAACAAGCTCTAAGTTCATTCACAAACATGGTCCAAAGCAAACACACAAGCAAACAAGTGAGAACTTCCCCTTGTCTTGGATGAAGACATGAAAATGAAAAGGATGAGCTGAAGTAAAGTTGATTTGAAAGGCTTGGTTGCCGGATCGAGCAAGAAGTCCACCAAAAAGCTTGAATCTTTCTCCAAATTTAAGTTATTCCTCACGGATTCTTGAAGAGAAGGATGGAGGAACATTTTGGTTGAAAGGAAGTAATATGAAGATGACAGAAAAGCTTGGTTTTAGAGGTAAGCTCTCAGTTTCCTTGAGAGAAAATGAGAGAAAAGTGAGTAAGCTTCTTGGATAAGGGTTCTTGATTTTTTGGAAGCAAAGTGAGAGAAAAGTGATTTTGCTCCTTTTAAATGGAATGCTGAAGTGCCAAGTGCCAAATGCCTAAGTGTGCACACAATTCATTTTTGTTTACAACTGGAAATTGGAAAGTTTACAAGCAAGGGTGCCCACGGTATTGGCCAACATTTATTTAAAAATTTGCAAAAATCCAAAAGAAAGATTTAGAGTAGTTCATGCATGGTTTATGATTGGATGATGTGAAATTTGATATGACTAGGTAGATGAAACAAGTGACAAAGAGCAAACTTCTAAAGATTTTGCTGATTTTGAGTCATCATGATATTAGCTAATTTGAAGATAAATAAAGAATTTTCTAATAATCATGATGTTGCAATCAAGGGAACAAAATTAAGTTTGCATGAAATTTAAGTGGATAATGCTAGATTGGACAAGATTTAGAATAATGATTAATATAAACCCCCAGATTTGTAATAATATTTTAATATGTTAATATAATTGTATATGTGTATTTTTATATGTTTGTATGTTTAATTTACATATATGGTGATGTGCATATATGTGTAGGACGTGGACATGTATGAATGTGTGAATATGGTTGTGAAGATGTCTGTATATTGTGGTTGAAATATAATGTGGATTGTGGCTGGGTTGGAGTTGATTGAATATATATGTTGAATTTGCGTGTTGTAGGGTATTCTTGCTGTAGCGAGAAAACTCTCATTATAGCAAGAAGGCACTAGGAGAGAGGAACGAAACTGTTACTTTCTCGCTGTATCGAGAGTTCTCTAGCTGTAGCGAGAGGGCGATAGTTTGGGGTGCAATTCTAGGTACAGTCTCGCTGTAGAGAGATTCTACAGAAACCAGAATGCAATTCCCTATGAGATTTTCGCTGTAGCGAGAGTGTCGCGACCAAAAGAGTATTTGAGGGTCTAGGGTTTGGAAAAATCATTGTCCCACTTCTCCTTTCAAATCCTCTCTCATTTCTCTCGATTCTCAAGTCATCCTTACCAATTAAATTGCCTCCAAAGTAATTTGGGAGTAAGATTGAAAATTAAAAATAAGTTTGGGGCATTTGGAAGTAAGTTTGGGAGTTAGGATGAAATCTGTGTAGGGGACACTTCCATTATTAATCTACAATGTGGGTCTTCGATTTGAGGTAAAAGGGGGGGGGGGACTCTACCCTATCTCATCGCGTTTGAGTTCATTATTCTGCTATGTATTGCCATGTAATGGCTGGGAATATATGTGTTTTACTGGAATTGATCTAGTTGTAGCGAGATTGTGGTGAAATAGTTGCATAGAGCATAGTGTGATTGATGTTGAGTGTAATGTGATAGTTGTGATGGGTATTTTGTGTGTAATGAAATGAATGATTGTAGGAACATTGTGATGAAAACTGTGTGACTGAACATTATGTAGTGAAATATGGTTGTTTATGCCTTCGATTGCGGATGAATAAAATGAGATGATGGAAAGAGTGTGTGATGGCATGTTGAATATAAATGTGGTTGTGTTTGAATGTGTTGGAATACCGTGAATGGTTTAGCGATACACTAAGGGTGTGGAAGATGAGGACGGTAGAAATATCTTGGGGAAGAGAGAGTGGTGGTGACACCAACCATACTCTCCTCCTGACTTGGCCTCTGACTAACACCTTTGCCTACGGGGCTCAAAACTGCACACGTTGTATCCGTGGAGCGGGAGCTATTCGACAATCATCCCTGGTGTAAACTGAGTAAGTCCCTAAGGTTGAGTGTATCAGAAAAACTGTGATCACAGTACAACAGTGAGCATGACTATGTGCAGTGAGCGTACGTGTGTGAGTATGTGAGTTGATTGATGGTGCAGTGAACGCACTTATTTGTGATTGAGAATGAAATGTCTTGTACTTGTTGATGTATGATTTTAGATGTATTAGAAAATGTGTGGAATGGGAAAGGTGAAACTATGCTTGTTTATATGTGTGTGATAGTGTAGAGTACTCACCCTTACATTTATTTTTTAGGTGACCAAGATGATCAGCACTAGGCCTAGTGAAGGACAGATGAAACTGCTATACGGCGTAGGAATTTTATTTTGAAAATTTGATGTATTAATTAAGTCTTGTAGCAATCATTGATACAAATTTGTAATTCATCCATGTTTCGAAATATTTTATTGAACTGTGCTTTGAAAAACCATCTAAATAAATTTTTTTATTATTCTTAATTTTGTGAAATTTCATTATTTAGAAAATTAAATTATGATATTACAATAATAGTATCAGAGCAGGCCTCTCTTTCAGTACAGTGTGGTTCGAGGACAAATCAAGTGGAAGTTGGTGGGCATGTGACATCTATGCGCTAGGCGAGGGTGGGGAGTGATCGCCAGTGCATTGTAGCACAAACAATAAGCAGCTCCTAGCAGGCTTCTAGGCGAGGGCGGGGAGTGATCGCCAGTGCAATATGTGGCACGGACAAGGAGCGGCTCCTGGCAAGCTTCCGGCGGTAAGGGACACATGAATGAATCGAACATACACCAAAATGAGAGGGATGCAGAGACTGTGTATACAGTTGAGGATAGTTTAAAGAAATTGATTAGGACTACCTATACC